AATGTTCAGACCGCAAAAATGATAAGAATGTGAGAATAGTTAAGATTTTCAGGAGCTTAATTCATATTTATGAACTGCATCTTATTAGACAGTAATTCTGTAATTGTAAATATTCTATTTGGAAACCTTTAGAAACTAAACTGTAATTTTGGAAAGTTATAATCTTCTTAAGAAGATGGATGTTAAAACTATGCAAATTATAGCTATCAACAGTTTATTTACCAAAAGTAAATATGTTCTGTCATAGATCCTAAGATTATTTTCTTTAAAATGCAGATAAGAACATTGGCTAGGGCAGCAGGAACATCTTGAGAATAAATGTTGCTTTTCTATGAGTTTTCTCTTCTGCTTGAAAGAGGCAGAGGTATTTTCTTGGCTCAATGTTAACTAATATATAATCACTAGCTTGCCCTTTCACTTGCTACACACACACAGTGTGTTTATTGCTTTACTTTTGCAAAATGTAAGTATCTAACTTAATTACTTTATCATTTCATTCAGTGTTTGTAATTTGCCCTTTATTTGTTTCTCTATATTAAATCCTTTTTATTTAAATCAATGATCGTTACCCTTGGTTTCAGAACACTTTAGAGTGTTATAATTCGTCTTATAAAGAATCACAAAATTAATCTCAAGAAAATTTCAAAGCCAAATTAATTTTAAGTCATTTTAATTTAAAATGAGAATTTTCCATTTGGCAATCTTAAAGGGGAAAGCTTTAAAAGTTGCAAAACTCATAGACTGAGAGTTTTGCCACTTTCCAGTAAGTCCAGGAATCCTTTTTTTGTCTTTCCTTATTTCAGTATGTAAACATACAAACATCCTAAGTTTTATAAAATGCTATTTCTGGGATGAAGGGACATGTGCCAAATTTGAGGCTGGAGCGGTTTTACTACTGCCTGGGACTATGCATATTAATCACAAATGTGTCTACAAGTAGACATGATGAGTTTATAACCACTGAGCTTTTTGGCCCTACCACAATATACATCTGACATCTAATAAAAATATGTATTTGCCAAATGGTTATTACCAGTACATCTGGGTTAGAAGTTAAAAGATGAGGAATTTGAAGAGAAAGTGATGACTCTATAATTAATGAAGTATTCTCTACACACAGTATTGGCAAAGGCAAGAGCAAGGATAATTGAGTACAAGAAATGCTTACCTATCTTCTTCTGGGATCTGGATGGATCTTCTAATAATTGAGTATGGATGGCGAGAGGCTGTTGGCAAGCACTTACAACCTGTATGATTGGCAACTTTAACAGGCACTAATTCAGGTACTGATGTCAAAGGCACTGATATCTCAAAGAGCTATAGCAGAGAAAGATAACCACAATGCATATATTATTTTATACATTATTTTGTAAAAAAATTTCTACAGTCTGAATTTTTGCCATTGTCATTTATAGTATTGACTTTAGCAAAATTGTCCATTAGGAATTGAACTACTAATAATAAGGGCTGGTAGAATACTGGGCTGGGAGTCAGGAGACCAGGAGCTCATCCAACTTTAAAAAGCATCTAAGTTTGGTCAAATGCCTCAACTTTTTGGTGTCACTGGTACCCTTGTAAAATGGTACTGTTCATCTCTGCTCCTGCTTTAAATTTGAATGTAAATTGTAAGGATTAAATGAGATTAAAGCTAAGAAGTTTCTTTGAGATCTTGGTTCAAACTACTTACTTATCCCTTCCCGTACCATCTATATAACTATAGTTTCCTGTCTCTTGACTTTAGATTTGGCCATGTCACTTTCTTTGGCTAGTGGGATGTTAGCAGACATGAAACAAATACAAACTTGAACCAGGTATGCGTTGTGGGGCTGTTTTCTCATACTTACGCTGTAGCCATGAGAAGAGCGTGGTCTGGCAGGCTTCCTGGTCCAAGAGATAAGAGACACAGGAAACAGGCTTAGACTCACACTGTGGCTTGGAGTCAAGCCCACCTGAGCCCACCCTAAACTAACTGAACCTCAGATACATGAGTGAGAATAATGAATATTTGTTTGAAGCCACTGAGCTTTAGGGTGTTTGTTATGTAGCATTGTGTATTAATAGCTGACTGATATTCATATCTGAACTAATAATTGGAGCTAACATGTATATCATTCTTTCTATGTTTCCATATGCTAGGCCCTTTTGTAAGCACTTTCATATTAATTCATTTACCACTTATAACAACATTATGGTGTGGGTTTTTTATTATCCCCATCTTACAGGCAAGGAAACAGATGTACAGAGAGATTATACAACTCTCTAGAGTGGTTCTATGATGTGTGGATGAATTTGAACTTGATTTTAATGCATTGTCCATTCAATCACCATTCCATGTAATTCTTACTACATAGAGTATTCATTTATTCACTTTGTTTCTAAGAGGCAGATCACCAAATAGTCCATAACTCAGGGGCAAGAGGTAGTTTTTTTAAAATCACTATTAAAATGTTAAAATATGCCTATTTGGAAAGAAAAACTGTTGTACATTTATACTTAAGTACATTCTTTAAAACTAATCATTTGTTGAGTACAGCAGTCAAAATATTCAACTATCTATTAAGTGGAAACAATTCATTAAAGTTGTGTTTATTCTGACCTTTCAATATGTAATGGAACTTCCACGAGTCTAAGTAAGAGCCATTTTTTAGAGTGTTTACTTTGCATAAACTTCATCTTCTTGTGCAATTCTTCAGCTATGCTCTGGGGAATCACATAATCATGAACTAGACCCTCTTAGTTATGCAAACTTTGTTTCTACTGACAGTTGATGCATAGCCATACTTAGGTCACTTTTTTTTCTAATTGTCAAATAGCAGAGATCAGAAGTCTTACAAGTTCCAAGATTCTGTAGTAGGTTTTAGAAAAATAATTCTCAAGTTTAAAGGATATTTTAGAGGGTAGGGGAAACAAATTAAAGATAAGTCAACCTATTAACAAAACAAATCAGCATTAAGATAATTACCTAACATGTATATACTTCATGCATACATAATTTTGTTGTACTGTCTCTTTTCACAATCACAAAAATGGATTGTATAGGCAAATGTGACAATTTAGTGGATATATCAACATTCAAGGAATTTGCAACATTCCAAAAGGAATGTAGTTTGACTTGTACAACTTTCTAATATTATTTTCCTAAGTTTGTTACTACTGCTTCCATATGCAACATTTATTGTATTTTACAAAAATATGGTAGCGACAGAGAGGAAAACTTATCTACTAAGCAAAGGGGATTTTATAAGATGGAAAGGGGAGAATTATTTCTTTCATGGGGACTGCAGACTTATTTTCGAAAAGTCTTTTGTGCTGCATAGTGTCCCTTTGCCCCTCCAGAGACACCACTATGTCTCCTTCCTTCCCCACCAGGCTCTGGGCCCCAGGAAGCTGCCCGCCATGGGCTGCATCTATAGGCCCTCTTGCCTCTCCCAGCCCTTGTCCCCACCCCCTACCCCCACCCCCTGCCAGGCTAAGGGTTGACAGTGGCCAGTCCAGCAGCCCTCTTCTTCATTTTCCCTCTGGGTTCCCATAATTGCTCCCTCCCCTAGTCTCTTTAGTCTATGGGTGGGAACAGCACCCTCTTTTTGTTAGCCCCGGGTGCTTCACCATCTCTCCCCCTCAACCTTGTCCACACCTTTCATCAAACTCTTCTCAATCACTCCATTTGAGCAACACAACACAGAACCTAATGGATACACCAGTCAGGGTAGTTGTCTTTATTCCTTTTAACATCTCGTTCTGGTAACTTCCATATGGTTTTCTGATTCTTGACATTAAAGCATCAGAGAGACAGTAACTGATAAGACATCAGGCTCTGGAGCCCCTAGACCTGGGTTTGGGCCCCAGCTCTTCCATTCACCAGCTGTGTAATGTTGGATAAGTAAGTTACCTTTCTGGGCCTGAGTTTCCACATCTATAAAGGAGGATAAGATACACTTTTAGCTTGTGTCAGGGATTAAATGGGACTATGCATTGAAGCATTTAGCACAGTACTTGGCAACAAGGTGAGTTGTAGCTGCCAACACCACCATCAGGCTTGGGAGAGGGAACACCTGCTGATGTACTCATACCTGTTTGGAAATGTACGAGGTGCTCGTGTTCATACAGATGAGGCTCTCTTCGTTGCAGCAGCCGCCACACCGGAACACGTTCACACAAGGGGGTTTGAAGAATGTGTTTGTACTCCTCCCCAGCTCACTGGCGACCTCCACGCACGTCTCTCTAGGGCTGCATTGGGTTCTTTGCCACTCTTCGTCTATAACTGTGGAGAGAAAGTTCATTGGGGCCAGCAGAGGAAATGGCCTTGACATGCCAATGGTGTGCCAGAGTTATGCTGAACACAGTCATCTTCACGTTTTGACTGCTTGTTTAGTTTACTATGTGAGTATTGTTTGTCAGTCCTTTAACCAAAGACGGTTTGCAGAAAAATTAAACCCCAAATGTGTTGCTCCTTCTCATTTATACCATATCTTTGTAGAATATAAGAATTTTATTTCCCCGTGGGAAGAACACCATGTCCTGTATATAATCACATTGAATACACCTGGAGAAACTGGCTAATAAGGAAATGGAAGCATGTAAAGAAATAACATGTAAATATTATTTATCAAGCAATTTACAGGATACAGCTGGATAGCATTTCTTCTACTTCAAGTCAGGTGTGGGTAGATTTTAGCACCATGGAGAAATATGTTTCAGCTGGTTGCTTAAGTAACTACAGTAGGATTTAAACCTGGAAAACACATGAATGGAAATTTAAGTGGAACTAATCTTTCCTCGAATCAGAGTTTTCTCATTTGCAAGTGCCCTATGCTGGTATTTATATAAAGTGATGAAACAAGCCTGTTCATTTTATTGGAAGGAGCATAGCTCTTTCCTCCAGCCATAGCTAATATGAGGAAAAAAA